CTGAGCCGGTGAGATTTGAACCGCTGAACTGCTGATCTAGCAGTAGCCTGCAGTGCTGCATTTAACCACTGCGCCACCTTGGCTCTTCTATCTATCTATCAGCAGATTTGGTTTCTGAAGAGCGATCCCCCACCATAACAGTGAGTTAGGAAAAAGATTAACCAGTCAAATAGTCTTGTGTGTTGCGTTATCCCAAAATCAGCTGCCTTATTAACTCTGTGTGAAAGTGGATTTGCGTTCAGTTGCCTTGAAAGTCCACTTGTTATCTGTGGGTGGATGGGGGGGGGGGGGAGAGTTATCTGCTATTTATTTGTCTGCTCAGAGTCATCATGTGGCCTGCGGTAATTTCCTTCCGGCTTTTCTTCCCAGGTCATCATGCCGGGATATTGTGTCCAAGGAACGGTGGGCCACAAAATTTTGGGCGGGCAACGGAAGCTAGAAATGGAAGGAAGACAAATTGTGAGTTGAACCATCTGGGAGAGGGTGGTGTGTACATGTGTGTGTGTTGTTAGGCATCTCTGTTTTTTAAAAACTGGGACAGTTGTGTATTGGATGGATCCCAATCTGTACTACCGTACTTTATTTACCGATGAAATATTCGTGAAGAGAGATGGGGTTAGGTGCAAAACTATAATCTAAAATCGGGGGCGAAATGCTTTCTGGTTCAGGCTGGTTCGGCCGAACTGGTAGTAAAAAATGCTATTGGTTCATAGAACCGGTCGTAAAAATTACTAAAAAAAAGTTTTAAAAAATCTGTTCAATCGCACAGTTGATCTTTGGACATTTTTCTTTTTTTTAAAAACCCTTTTAAGCATTTTTTTTTTACTACAGGTTCTGCGGAAATGCAGGGGGGGGGAGGGTTCCCTGAAACCTGCTAAGCCAAAAAACGGGGTTGGGGGTTGCTATGAAAGAAAGAAAGATAGAAAGAAAGAAAAATCAGACAGCCAGTCAGGAAATAAATAAATGAACAAATACAGAAAGAAAGAAAGAAAGAAAGAAAGAAAGAAAGAAAGAAAGAAAGAAAGAAAGAAAGAAAGAAAGAAAGAAAGAAAGGGAAAAATCAGACAGCCNATTTGTTTAGCAGAGTGATGGCATTCGGGGGAGAAAAACTGTCCTTGTGTCTAGTTGTCTTGGTGTGCAGTGCCTTTTGTGTCGTTTTGAGGGTAGGGGTAGAAACAATTTACGTCCAGGATGCGAAGGGTCTGGAGATATTTACACAGCCCTCTTTTTGACTCCTGCAGTGTCCAGATCCTCAATGGAAGGCAGGTTGGTAGCCATTGTTTTTTCTGCAGTTAAGATTCTCCTCTGAAGTCCGTGTCTGTCTTGTTGGGTTGCAGAGCCAAACCAGACAGTTACGGAGGTGGAGAGGACAAGACTCCATCATTCCTCTGTAGAACAGAATCAGCAGCTCTTTGGGCAGGTTGAGCTTCCTGAGTTGGCACAGAAAGAACATTCTTTCTTGTGCTTTTTTTGATGACATTTTTGATGTTAGGGGTCCATTTTAGATCTTGAGATACAATAGAACCTAAAAATTTGAAGGCCCGTCGAATGCTATGAACCTGCCTTATTCAGAAAGCCACAGGTCAGTTCTGTAACTGGTGTCTAGAAGGATCTAGAAAACCAAAACCAAAGTGGGGTTGAACTGAAACTCCCCGATTTGAGTCCGTTGTAAAAGCCCGTCTTGGATTCCTGTCCTTCCCAGCCACTTCCACCTGGATCACTGTGGGGCCCTGCCCTACTTCAGCGAGATGGTCGGCTACGATGGGCCAATTTACATGACCCACCCGACGAAAGCCATTTGCCCCATTCTCCTGGAAGATTTCCGGAAAATCACCGTGGACAAGAAAGGGGAGACGAACTTCTTCACCTCCCAGATGATCAAGGACTGCATGAAGAAAGTGGTGGCTGTCCACCTTCATCAGACTGTGCAGGTAAGGGGGAGGGGAATCTTTGGACCGCGTAGCTCGGATTTCCAGAACATTCCAGAACATTTCAAATCCCTCCACCAGAACATGGCGGAGGGATTTCTGCCCAAGTTGGCAAAAGGTCTGGATACCCCACTCACCCTCCATATATGAACAAAGGTAAAAGTCATGTCGATCAGAAAGGTCGGCAGGTCGGCGGTTCGAATCCCCAGCACCGCGTAACGGAGGGAGCTCCTGTGACTTGTCCCAGCTTCTGCCAACCTAGCAGTTCGAAAGCACGTTAAAAAATGCAAGTAGAGAAATAGGAACCACTAACTTTGTTGGGAAGAGAACAGCGTTCTGTGCGGCTTCGGGAGTTGAGTCCTGCCGGCCACATGACCCCGGAGACGTCTTCGGACAGCGCTGGCTCTTGTGCTTTGAAACCGAGATGAGTACCGCCCCCTAGAGTTGGGAACGACTAGCACATATGGGTGAGGGGAACCTTTACCGGTGCCTTAAAAGTCATATTTGTAGCTGCATTTACTCTGGGATCATCCAAGTTTGGATCTACTCAACCTTAGATCTGGTGAGACCAAGGATTGGGGCACTCGGTCAAGAAAGACAGATCTAACACCCCGTACTTTGTGGGGGGCAGGGGAAAGAGCCAAATTCTGACTATAAGTCAGCTAAGGGAAAGAGAGTTTGTGGTATAAATGTATATTGTAAATCCTCGTGTTTCTAGTCCCGAAGGAGCAGGAAATGACACACCCTGGATCACAACATGTCACAAATGACAGAACACATAAGGCACACAATTTGGATGTTGTGGCTTACACAGGACACTTATTCACACAATGATGGCAAACTGGCCAAATTTGCTATTGAAAAAACAGTTGGGGTGACATGTTTATTACCTGGTTTAGTAATTGATTAAGTCTGATCAGGTTTTTCAGGCTCTTCACTGAATTTGGGAGATCCTCACGTTGGAAAAAAAAATCTTCAAAAAATTGTTACGCAGCGTTGACAAAACGCTGATTTGCTACTACTGGTTTTTCAATCTCCTTATGGTCACTGTTTTAAAAACAATCTCTGTTTTTAGGTGGACAGTGAGTTGGAGATTAAGGCATATTATGCTGGCCACGTCCTTGGGGCTGCGATGTTCCAGATTAAAGTCGGTTGTGAATCAGTGGTTTATACTGTAAGTGACTTGGTCCCTTTCAACCCAGATTCTGTTTTATGTGAGGTCCTTGTTGTTCTGACTGAGGCTTCCCGAGAGCCTGAAGCAAACTCCTTGCCCCAACAAAAAACCCTTTTATTAAATGACTGTGAATTCTGCTCAGTCACATCCAGCCAAGTCTTTCAAAGGAGGATTTATGGTCACAGACCTTATCTGGCTTGGAGAGCTGCCAGGCCAAGATCTGCACAACTTGGTAAGGAGTCTCGGAGAGTCACCAACCAATTAAGTGAACTAATTGTCTCCTGCAAGCTCCACTCCCCTTTCGCTCCTCTTTTATTCCCTCTGGGAGGGGCCATTCACCGTCCACCTGTGGCCTTACTCCCAAGTCGACCCCTGTTCTTTAGCTGTTCCCTTCGTCTGGCAGCTCTGTGCATGCACACACTGGGAACAGGCTCCAGCTGTTCTTCTGTCCCACTGATCTCCAACTCCGAAGGCAGCTGATAACTGGCAGACGGCTCTGGCCCCCTCTCTGCCTCCAACGCAGAGCCCTCATCAGAGCCTTCCCCAGACTCCAGGACCGGCCCATCTTCCTCCCCAACCTCCACTCTCCGAATCTACTGCTAGCCGCTGGCAGGCCACAACACTTACATGCAACTTGTTAACGAGCATTTTTAACATTAGTTTCCATTCTTTGGCGCTTAGCCTTCCTTACGGTCCAACCTTCACAGCCATCCCTTGCAACTGGGAAAACCACAGCCTTGACTAGACACACTTGTATTGGCAGGGTGATGTCTCTGCTTTTTAGGAGGCTGTCTAGATTTGCCTTAGCTTTCCACATTTAAAAGCAACCCAATGCAAAGGACCGTAAAGGCTGCCCCTGGTGGATATACGTAGTCATTGCGAAGTGCAGAGAGAGTGAGAGAGTAAATACTGCCCTCCTGTGGCAAGGTACTGCTACTGCAGAAGAAAAAGTGAAGGTTGATAATGGTGAAGGGTTATAAATCTTCGGGGAGGTCCCTTTAGTTTTAAGCCCCTAGCAATCACTTGCTCTTGTTCCCTGATTTCCTGCAGAGTTGCATTTGTCTATATACTCTTTAGAACAGTGTTTCTCAACCTTGGCAACTGGAAGATGTCCTGGCTTCAACTCCCAGAATTCCCCAGCCAGCATTCGCCAGTCTATTCTACATCACAAAGGTCTGCCTACTTCAGGCAGAGCCATAATAGGAATTGCCTAAAGCTCTTTCATTATATCATCGCCCAGCTTTGCTGGCTGAGGAACTCGGGGAGTTGAAGTTCACGAGTCTTAAAGTTGCCAAGGTTAGAGACCCACCCCCCCACCCCCGGGGGCTGAGACCCCCAAGAACCAACTGGCCCCAAAGCCAGATCAAGGTTGGTGATTGTGAACGATCTTGAAAGACTGTGAGAGAGGAAAGACTTGGCTGGAGAGGAATTCCCTGTCAATTAAATAAAAGGGGTTTATCGGGATGAGGAATTGGCTTCATGCTGGTGGGGAAGCCTAGGACAGAACACCTTCCTTCCTTTCTCCTTTTCTTTTCTTCCTTTCTTCCTCCCCTTTCCCCTTTCCCTCTTCTCTCTATTACTTCCTCTACTCTTCCTAGTATTTTCTCTCCTCTCTCTATTACAGTGTTTCTCAACCTTGGCAACTTGAAGATGTCCGGACTTCAACTCCCAGAATTCCCCAGCCAGCATTCGCTGGCTGGGGAATTCTG